AGGGAAGTCCTCACAGCCACGTCTGCAGGGACCTCTAGGACCATCTGGCCCAACACCCTCATTTCCCAGAGGAAATAGCACCAGGCACTTAGGCAACTTCATAATTAACTTATTTATCACATCAGTTTTTTGTCTTCTCTCTCCACTACTTCTCTATGAGGTGAGGGTAATTTTTAGTCTCTTTTGTTCACTGATTTATCCCAAGCTCCTAGAACAGTACCTGGTGTTCAATACATGTTTGTTGAATAAATAAATGTCACCCCAGGCGTTGCAGCTGGGCCACGACTAGAACTCAGGCCTCCTACATCCCACTGGGTCATCACCAAGTCCCCAGCAAACCAGCTAAGGGAGAGGCAGCCCTGAGTCCCCGTGGTTTGTGTACACGTGCGGGTATATGAAATGGATGGGGGTCCACATGCACCCCAGCTATTTCAGGGACTAGTGGGTGGCTTCTCTGAGCAGGAGACCACCAGCAGATCTCTGATTCACAGGCTGTCCCCAGGTAAGAGGTGGATTGCCTCCTTCCAGCCATGTTCCACCCCAGTTGGCTGACATGCCCTAGAGCTGGACATGAGCAGCCTCCTGCCTCTGTGCCCTCACCAAACCTGGCATGTTCTCGTCACCCGTACCACCTTGAGCCAGAGCTACTGGTGAACACATGACTTCCCTCAGTGACAGGCAGGACTTGGGGTTTGGAGAACTCAACCAAGGGGGTGGCATGATTAGACAGGGCACAGTGCTGGACTCTGGCCCTGCCACTGATTTGCTGGGTCACTTTGGCAAATCCCTTTTCCCTCTGGATTTCCCACTATCTTGAACCAAGGTGTTTCTAACTGTGCGCCAACTCCTAGCCTCCTTTGCCCTGCCTGGGTCCTGCCTTCCAGATCAGCCCAGGCCCATAGCTGCCCCACCATGAGAGGAGGGAGAAGCGGCTAAAAAGTAAACACAGATGCCTGCAGCTGGCATGACCTGCGAATGAATGTAGGGCTAAGGTTGTGGGTCCAGTCCCCCCAAGCTTGGCCCAATTCCACAAAACCAGGGCCACCCACAGCTGAGGAGAGTGCCATTCAAAATTCCTGAGCAGTTTCAGGGAAAAAGAAAATCAACTGGGCATCTGTTCATGGAGATTAGAAAGAGAACAGTAGGAGGGATTTAAGTAAGATCTCTAGCAGAACTGGCTGGCCCTGAGGTCCTAAAAGGAAGGGCTTCAGAGATGACCTACCCATTAAGTCAGAGCCATTCTGAAGGCTTCATGGGGTGGGAAGTGTGGTGAGAACATCTGTAAGGAGAGATTCGTGTGGCAGAGGAGGGAGAGCAGGTCCTAAAGCAGAGGGATGGGGCAGAAGACCTCCAGGGCAGCTCAGGCCCAGACCTTGAGAAGATGGCGTTGGTTAGCATTTGATGGGAAAGGGTAGCAGGCAGGCTCGGCAAACACATGTGCACAGGAGCCAGTCTGCAAACCTGGAGTTTCCCATTTGCCTGAATGTGTAGGGGTAAACCGGAATACCAGCTCCAGTAGCCCAAGGACAGCCAGGCATGTGTACCTGACGTGCACCCCCACACCCTGCAGTTCCGAGGCTCCTACACACACCGTGATTCCTCATACACGATAAATGTATAGATGGGCCTTCTGCAGAGAAGCGCATCTCCTGGACACCAAGGCCAGCAGTTCCACATGAGACAGTGCTCATTACAGGCCACATTCACACACTTCTAACACCTCCTACATTCCACCAGAAGGGTCTTAGGAAACCCCAACATGGAGCAAGTGCCTCTGGGTGGGGTTGGTGGGTATTTCATCCTCTCTTTGGAGCCATATGAGATCCAGATCTCAGTGCCCCCACAGCCAGAGCACTAATCCCATTGGGAAAGGGTGACCAGCCTAGATGTTGACTGGCTTGATCTGGCAGGGGGAGGAAGGGGATTTTAATTCTGAATCAGACTAAGTCGATTAAAGAGGAGCACAGAGCCCCGAATCTCCAACCCCAGGCCAGAGGAAGACAGGGAGACATGCAACTCAGGCTATATTCCTTCTGCTGGGTCAACCCTGTCCCCTCCCCACAGCCCCCAGCCCTGGTGAGACAACCCTGCCTGCCTTTTCCTTTCCCTGCTCACTGCGCTTCAGGTTCCCATGGCAACCTCACCCTCAGCTCCAGGCAGGAGAGCAGGGAGAGCAGAGAGAGAGAGCAAAGAGAGAGAGAGAGAGAGAGAGAGAGAGAGAGAGAGAGAGAGAAAGAGAGAGAATATCTGTGGGGGTGGGGAGGAGGCAGACAGCAAGGGTGTTCTCAACTGCGGAGGGCCCATGAGGGAAAAACCAGGAGACTGTCTGCAGGCTCCTTGTAGACTACTTAGGTAAGGAAGACAGGTGCCATGGGTTTTTTTTTAGAGGGGAAGACACAGCAACATCAGAGCTGTGCCACTCCCCCCACCACGACTGCCCTGGAAAGGGCTCCAACTGATTCGACCTCCTTCCAGAAAGGACTGCTGGGAATTTTACCTTTTCCCTCCCGCTCCGTCCTCAGGTTGAAACTCCGCACACCCACGACCCTCACATTCCTGTAGAGATGAATGGATGCATGTGTGTGCCAACGTGGGCACCAAGACAGAAGAGGGGCCGCCCGCCCCCAGCGAGTGACCCCACTGGAACCCCAGCCCCACCAACACTGGGCCATGGTGAGGGAACAAGGGGCCAGGATGGGGAGAACCCAGTGTCCCTGGAGCTGGGTCCAGAGCACAGCTCCTTTGTCCCTTCATGGGCCAGCCTGGGCCCAGCCCCTTGTTAATCATTCAACACAGTGGGGCCTCAGCGATGCTCCTCCCCATCCTTGATAGCAGTATCAGCTGCTCCCGGGAAGAGAGGCATGGAGAGAGCCCACAGGACAGGAAGTCTGGGAGACGGATAGAGATCTAGCCTCCATGAGGGCAATCAGGAAGCTGTCAGCAGTAGCCTAGGCCTCCAGGAGAACTTTAACAGGCACACAAAGTGACTTCTTGATGCTCGTATGCTGTGTCCCGTGCACATTCCCTCTTGAAATTTTCCACAAGGCTTTGGGCTAAAAAAGGTAGGCATTATCAATGTGCCCATTTCATAGATAAAGAAACTGAGGTCCAGTGTCAAGGACCAAGACCTTGCCCAATGGACTCTCCTCTCCGCCACAGCTACCCAGCCAGCTAAGAGCAAATTGACATCTCTCTCTCAGGTGGACCCCAGTCCACTCACAGCTCTCAGACCTTTAGGGAAAGATGTGCTTGGCAGGGTGAGTGGTGTACACAGTAATTCATCTTTCAAGCCCAACCCCTTTCCTAGCTTGGCCATTAGGAGAGACCCCAGAGGGGCTCTCAGCCACCCGCAGTCAGAAGGCGCCTATTCCTTATAGCTTTCGTAAAGCAGGTGTCTTGAGAACCCGGACCTGTGGGGATGCAGACGGGGCCTCTGCCTCAGGGGAGGGGTTATCCCCAAGGACCTCTGAGACACCTTCCTGCTCAGAGGGACCGTGAGGATAAGGAGGATGCTGAGTTGCTGCTAGGCTCCTGTTTATGGGCTTACTGGGGACAGGGACAGCTTGTCGGGTACAGCCCCACGCCCAGTACTGCCATTAGCTGTGTTCCAGAGGCAGAAGAAGAACAGACCACAGAGCCTGAAAACCCAGTGCCCGCCTCTGCATGCAACCTCACCCCCTTCCAGCCTCGGACCCGTTCAAAAACCACAGCTTTTTGTTCAAGTAGGAACAAAAATACATCAACAAAAGCAACAAGGAGCCTTTGGTTTTACCAAAAGGGAGAAAAAAAAAAAATAGTCCCAACATCCTGCCTCTGGAAGGAGCTGCTGATCCCCCTGCCGGGAACAGTGCCCATGAGCGGTGGGGAGGGTTCCCTTCTAACCCAGTTTCTCACCAGTCCCCGAGGCCTCAGGGCTGAAGTGGTGGGGATAGGAAGCAACAAGGAAGCATTGTTTGATCAGAGAAAAATAATGAGCAGCCAGAAAGATCAAGGCTAGATGTGAAGAAGAACTTACCAGCCCTCAGGGGTTGGAGACAAAATAAAAAGTCAATGCCAGCGCGTGCCCCTGATGGCAATACATAAAGAGAAATAATTCTGCTAAGTTGGGCAAGGTGTGGAAACACTGGACCTCAGTTTCCTCATCTATGAAATGGGGATGCTAAGAAGCAAAGTGACTCCTGAGGTTCCTTGAGGCCCTGACATCTCTAAGTGCAAGGATTTGGGGATAAGAGTGAAGTGTGGGGTCTGCCTGGAGGCCGCATATGGCCACTGGGGATGCCCCTTTGAGCGTGCCTCCTGTCCCAAGCACACACCACACACCTCCCTTCCACTCTCACTCCTGGTGCTGCCCTCGGCTCCCTAAGACATCTGATCCCATTTTGCCCAGTCAAGAGGCAGAGAATTCTGGGGAGGCAGGAAAGCCCCAGGCCCCAGACCTAGATTTGCCCACCGCTCCCCCATCGCCTAAGACCACTGGGATCTAAGACAGTGTGCTAGAATCCAGAGACACACTGAGCACCCAGCTCCACCAGCACAGACCCACTCCACCTTCTGAGGCCTGGCAGAAGGACCACAGTGCCTTGTCCCTCAGAACGAGGGACATCTCCATTCTCCTCAGTCCCTCACGCCACAGCTCAAGAAAACTGAGGGACGGACCTCGGATATCTGCAGTCAGTGAAGAGGGTAAGGGTGGAACCAGGCGCCTCCCTTTCTTCACTGGCCCATCTCCACTCCCCACTTGACTCCACAAAAAAACGGGTTTCCCTGGCTTGTAACTCCCCCACCCCCACCCCCAGGTCTGCAGCATCCATTGACACATGGCCCCCAAGGAGGAGGGAACAGCACATTTCTCCCCATCCCCACCCCACCCCTGACCTCGAGACTCAGAGACTATTTGCATGGAGACAAAGCAGGTTTGTGGTGTAGATCTGCCCCACTTTCAGAAAATGTAGTTTACAAAACAAGTAGTCGAGGCCATAAATATTCCTCTACCCAACAGAGCAGACTCCCGCCACCTACCTAGAAGCTTCAAGAAAGAATTCAATTAATAGTGCTTCTTCCACCACTGGCTATTGTGCAAAAGCGGGCATGCATACCTCTAGCGTGCCCGGGAAGTGTGGACACAAACGCAGCCTATTCAGTCTGCCTCTCTGGTGTTTCGCCCCAGCCCCACGTCTGGCAGCGTGTGTGTGTCTGGATACACCAGGCACATGCGTAAGTGCACGTCCATGGGGGTCCACCATGACCAGGCAGGCCGGCTGTGAGCTCTAGCCTGTGTTTTCCCCACTGCCTCACCCTAAGGCAAGTCTGGTACAAGGAGAGAAATAGAAGAGGCCTTTTTGCTGCTTACAGTCACTTTCCAGTGACTTACATCTCAGTAGTGAGAAGCCACCGGGAAAAGACAGGCAGCTTTCTTCTCTCTTGAACACCTCACTGTGAGATCCTGGCTCAGGGACTAGCCAGAGACAGGCAAAACGCAGAGACCACCCTGCACGCCAAACGCATAATCACTCACTGGGTGGGCACAACTCCCTGGCAAAGTGCCAGGAGAGACCACCTGCCTCTCTAGGTTCTGAGTAGGAGGTGCTGCTGAGAAGGAAACCAGGCCTGGTCCACAAAGCAAGGCCAGGATAGAAATTAGGGCAAAGCTATACCCTGGAAACCTCAGGATTCGGAAATTGAATGTCACTGGGGGATGGGGCGGGAGGCAGGAAGAAAACAGGAAGGAATGAGAGTGAATACTCAGGACAGTGCCTGGCGCATCACTTGTGCTCGAAACTCTTTGGTCTCGAGTCCAGTATCCCAGGGGAGGAAGTCTGAACCATGGGAAAACCGAGACTCAGACAGGTCCAGAGGGCGCTCCTTGCAGGTCAGGCCTGCATATGATTTATCCTGGAATTTCCATGTCTGGCTAGCTGGCACCGAACAACTGCTTAGCAGAAGCTGGCTGAGGGAGTGTGAATGCCTCAGGCAAGGTGCTACAACAGCTGGAGTGAAACATAGCTGGGCCACAGAGCCCCCAAGTCTTCTCCTTCCCAGCTGGGTAGCACAGGCCAGGGCTGTAAAGACTGGGGGATCCCCAAGGGGTGAACCTGCTTCTCTGGCTGAGGGCCAGGTGACAGATGGGGGAGTCTCTGCCTGGGCATGTGGGAAGCAGCATCCAGGGAGAGGTGCTTCATCTTCTGCCTGCCCCAGAGCGCCCCAACCCCTGCAAGGAGCTCCCCACTCCACTTGCTGCCTCCCCAGAAGAGGGTGAGAAAATTAAGCTGGGACTTTGGCACCAGGCTGAGAAAATACAGGAGAAAACAAGGATAAGCCTCTGATTTCTTTCTCCAGCTCCCAATGCTCACTGAATTCTAGACTACTGGAGTCTTGGGAAGAGCATCAGTCCCCGCCACCTGCTGGGCTCAGGGTTCAGCCAGGCTTCAGCCTGCAAGGGCGGAGGCTCGGCAGCTGTCCCCAGAAGAGCCTTGGTGCCCCAAGTCTAGCTTGAAGTCGTCCAGCAATCAAGGCGTTAAAACTGCCCAGGCTTCTGGCTTTGCTGAACCCCACCCCGCTCCCCAACAGAGGGAGGAAGTGGCAGAGAATCAGTGCTTGTGTGAGCCCTTAAGAATTTGAAGAATGTCCCATTTCCCTTGGGGGGGTGGGAGGGGTTGGTGGGGGGAAGAGGACCATGGAAGCTAACAGAAGGGGCAGCTGACTTCGAAGAGCGGGACAGAGCTATGATGCTCTTTCTACCCCAGGGCAACCTTCCCAGTGCCCTAATCCCTCCCAGAAGGGACAACACACATGTTGCTTCTTGAGTGTGAGATTTTTATCAGAAATCTGTTTTCCCAGTACCTGGCACAGGTTAGCACGTAGCAGCCGGCAAGCAAAACCTGTCTGATGAATGAAAAAACCCCAAGAAGATGAAGTTGTGGTATTAGCAGGGGGTGCAACAAGGGAGAGGCAGCCTTTCAAAGGGGTAGAAGCCCCCAACCCCTCTTAGGAAGTCCAAAAGTTCCCCTCCTGGGTGAACTTCAGCTGCAAAGAGCCTCCTGACTGAGAATTTAAAACAAAAAATGTGGACTCCAATCGGATACTGAATTGTTCTGAATACTGATCTTGCCACTGACTTGAAGTGACTTGACCTTCTGAAGCCCCCACCTAGCAGGGTGGCTATGTGATCCTACATGTGCCATGGACCTGCCCTGAGTTTGCACAAAGTCACCTTGAAGGTGGAAGGTGTTGGTACAGCACCGGACGGGGGAACCACCACACCTCCATCCACCTCCCTGCAGCAGGCCAGGCTGCATGCAGGTGCCAGTGCAGAAACAGGAGTCCAAGCTAACTCCACTGGAAAAGAGGTGAAGGTCTGTGTGGCCTCCCTCACCAGGCAGGCACGAGCTCTGCCCTGAGCCAGGCCACCCCTTCCTGCTGCCCCCACTTGACAAGAAATGAACACTAGGAAGGGCTGCAGCCAGGAGCCCCCAAAGCCTAGCACCCAGACCCTCTGGTAAGGGGCAGATAAGAGATGGAGGTAAGTCAACTGCTCTTTTGGGAAGAGAAATGAGGGAAGGAGAAGCGGAGAACACAACTGGGCAGAAACAGGGCAGGTCACTTTTTCTTGAAAAGACCACACTGGCTCCCTCCCTGGCAGCAGGGCGCAGGGGGAAGAACACGCTTGCGTTACTGGGTTTGAAATAGCCTCTCACCAGCCATGTAATCTTTCTTGGGAGAAGCCCTTCTCTTCCCCAAGCCTGTTTCCTTCTCTGTAAAATGTGAGTGGTAACAGCCCTTCCTTCATCCAGCTGTGGTGAGGGACAAATGTGATTGACACTAACAGAATGTCACCTTGTGGTTATTAGAACAGAAGGTAGAAGGAGGGAGAACACTGAGGGGCCCGCCCAGCCCCCTGCCCAAGGCAGGACTCACGCGTTGCAGTAGGGTTTCTTCTCGTAGCCCTTGTAGTTCTTCATGTTGAGTGTCATCTTGCACGTCTCGCAATGGAAGCATGCTTTATGCCAGAACTGGGGACAGAGGCAGAGGGAGGACACCTGTCAGGCATCAGTACTTCAGGAAGTGGGGCTCGGGCCCTGGGAAGGAGTGCTCCATCCCAGGGACTGGAACACGGAATCACCCTGGGTGAGCTAAGGACATCTCAGGTCACGGAGGCTCTGACAGCTATGGCACTCCCCTCCCCTTCCCCACTAGTCAGCCATTTGAGCTGTCAGGAGCGGGCGGAGGGCAAATGTGAAGGATGAGTGGGGAAGAGGCCAGTAATAGTAGTGTCAAGCTGTCCCCAAAAGATCGGCTCCACCTCTCCTGACCACTCCTTCTACCCCCAGCTGGAGAAGCCTCATTGCTTATGCAAACCTGCACCAGGGTTGCTAAGAAGCCACTGCTGAAAGTGAGGGGCAGCTCCTCAGTCTTGACAAGGCCTAGAGAAGAGAAGGGGGGCCCAGCCCCCAAGCACCCGGAGCACCCACACTGGAAACCCAGGCACTCTTAGCTCCCACACCAGGATTTCCTGACACATGTGAGCCTGGATGACACTCCAGCTCTGACGGGTGGGACCCCAGACCAGAGAACAGAAGTGGGTGCTCCAGTTCTAGCCACTACTCCTATAAGGTTTTCCCCTTCCATCACCCTTCTCCCACCCCTCTGGTAGGAGAGCACCCAGCAGCTGGTCTCCCTGAGGCACTGAAGGGCTCTGCTTAAAAGCCCTGGAGGGGAAACCCCCCCCCCCATAGTGGACATCAAAGCTCTACCCTGACTAGCTGTGTGACCTTGGTCAGGGCCCACACCTCTGAGCCATTTCCAGGTCTGTAGAATGAAAATGATACCTGTGACTCCTGGGACTGTTGAGGATTAAATGAGAAAGCACCTACAAAGCCCGCAGCACAGCACCTGGCACCTCTAAGTACCCGAATGTTAGATGCTGGGCACAGAAGATATGAACCTCGGCCAAGAGGCCTCAGCAGCGCACACTGAAGGTTTGTATGTGCTGGGGTACTGGTGGGGCTTCACAGCGCCGAGACACAGCTACAATGCGGGTGAGAATAAGTGACAGGTAAGACTCCAGTCAAGCCCAGAGGCCCAGAATAGAACAACCAGGACCATTCCAGGGTGGCCAGTGGAGGGGAACAGAGTTGAAAGCCATGAGGGAAAGGGAAAGGATACGACAGAAGTGACCCCATCCTAAGAAATTTTGATGCTGGGGCAAACCCATGCACATGAGATCTAAACCTGCCCCTGGCAGCCGGTGATGAGACCCAGGATCTGCGTGAACCAAGGGTCCAGCTTCCAGGACTCCAGAATCTGGGCTGCCTGGGTGATCTGCCTGGCCTGTCTCTGCCCCATTTCTCAGCAGTCAAAGGAGACACTCCTGACCCCTCAAACAAAGGGGCCAAAAGCCAGGAAAGGGCCCAGGGAGGCTTTTGCAGGTGACCAGCACAGGGCTGGTTCTTGGCCCTGTGTCAAGGAATTCCCCCAAGGCAGTGCTTTTCAAAATGTGTTTCCCCGACAAGGGTGCTTCTGGGACACAGTAGAGGAAGAGACGGAAAAAGGAAGCTGGAAGGTTGGAACACCACCTCCCCTACCCTACCCCACTTCAACCAGAGACCATGGGGTCATTTGGGGGGTGATCGCCTTCTAATAGGGTACTTTCCCTGTCAAGGGGACCCAAAGGAATCTCCAATGGTGGAATACTAAATGAAGTGATAAGAGAACCACTCTTCTGGGAAGGCCACCTGGAAGTCTGGAAGCCAAGGGACAGCTAGTCTGAACTTGGCCCCACCCCAACCGGGGTCTATCCCAGAGCCCAGCCCAGACGCCTCCTGATGCAAAACCCCAACACCTACAACCCACCCACCAGAAAACTACAACAGGGTAGACCCTGCTCACATCAGCCCCCTGAGTGACAGCCCCTCTCCCTCCCCCAGTGCCTGGGGGGCACTGGCAGAGTGCCCCAGCACTGTCACCACCCAGTCCGCTGGCCTCTGACTGCTTAGCTGCACATGCCCCTGCCTGGGCCCCCGCCTCCCCCCACCCCCACAGAGGCCTGCCAGGAAAAACATTCTCTGGAATCCAGACCATGACCCACTTTCACACACACATTTGCAGGAATATGCACTGTCCTAGGACTGGGGACCTCCAAAGCTGCCTCCTGATTGATCTGAGGAAGACAAAGGGAGGGAGACGGACATCCCTACCCTAGCAGATGGCCAGGATCCCACCCTGGAGCCAAGCAGAGGGGAGCAGCATATACTGACCAGGCTGGGGGTTCCACAAGACCCCTCAGGCTGCCGTTTGGAAGGGAGCCCCCATATGAGAGGATGGTGCCCGTTCCCATCAGCAGCTCTTCTCCACCTCACCCCCAGAGACCCCTTGCTCTCAGCTAGATACACCAGCTGAGCCTCTGGGCTGGGTAGTAGTCATCTGTTCCCTTACAGGGCGCACGGGAGCAAAATAATGAAAACAAGAGTGGACTGAGTGCCTCCGGGAGAGCTACTGAACTCGGTCTCTGCATCTGTAAAGTGGAGCTAAAAACAGGGTCCCACAGAGTGCTGGGAGGAGTAATGAGGTGACATGGGCTGCAAGCTTAGCACCACTAGCTGCTTCACGTCACTCCCCTCCCCTCTCTGGAGGGCTCCGAGGTTCAGGAAAACCCAGCAGCTTCTGACACTGTGTCCTCTTTGGGGTAGGAAAGCGGGGGTAGGGAGGACAGAATATGGTGAGTCATCCAACAGCCCCTGTGGGCCAGGCCTGGACCAGGCACCCCAAGGGAACCCCATCTCCTTGATGAAAGAAACCCCATCCCTGTCTCAATCAGGTCTGATGAAGAACACAGTCAGGGAAATAAGTCAATACAACCCCACAATGACCCTCTCTGCCTCCTGAGTCCCCTACCCTGTGAGCCCTGTAGAGCAAGACTTCCCCCTTTCTTGGAAGTTCCCAGGTAAGATTTCAGAGAAGCATTCCTGGGACTCAAGACTCAGGGGAGCAAAGTACACCTCTGGGCAGGCAACGCTAATCCTTCCTGCTGCCCTGGAAGTCCAGTTTCCCTTCCACAACAAAATCAGACCTCTGGTGCCTGTTAGAAGCCTCTCAGCCCATCTCCCAAGGCTCCAGCATTACCCTCAAGTCTCCCTTGCCTGCAGCTGCAAAGCTGCAGCCCAATCCACAGAAAGGTAAACAGAGGCTGATGGGGACAGAAGTAAGATTCACCCCCGCACTTGGGCAAGACTTGGGCCAGCCCTTATCTCTCTGGAACCACTGTGGAGGTGGGGGAAGCACTGCTCACAGCTCTGGGCGAGGGGGATGCAGCCAGCTTCAGGTCACTGTGCCAGTAGCCTGGCATCTTGCCCTCTGCACCCAGGCTGCCTGGAGTGCCTATGACTCAGGGTTGGAGTATGAGACCTTCCTCTCCCTTCCTGTCGCCCAGGGTTACAGTTTCTCCCTTCTTCAGGGTTAATACCAGCCCCACCCTGGCTGGGCCACCAGCCTAGTTCAGTGGGCCACGGAGGCCACTGGCTTAAAGGCATTGACCTTGGCTGCCCTCCACAAACTCCCAGGGAGAGATGATTATTCCTAGTGCCCCAGCTCCAGGCAAGAGCCCAGGCCCAGAGTATTCTTCAGGCCAGGTTCGGGAAGGGGGCGGCACCACTATGGACACTAATGAGACAGTGTAAATAAAAGTACTTTTGCAAACACAACAGGCAGAAGAGCTGAGCACAAAGAACTTCAGATTTGAACTCCAGCTCTGGCTGAGAAGGGAATGAACCACAGGACCTACCTGAGCCTTCATTTATGGCGTTCATCATTTACAGGGGCAACCACATCTGTTTTGTGAGGCTGCTTTGAAGACCGAGCCTGGCACATCGCAATAAGTAGTAGCTACTAGGAAAGGATGGCCACAAGGTGATGGTGGGGGTACTCCCAGCTTTAACTAGGAAAATGGGGCACCACAGCTGCAAGGACTTGGCTCCTTTTTTGGGTCCAGCCCAGCCTCCTTCTACCTTGGCTGACGCCTACGGGGGTGGCAGGGTAGAATGGCGTGTAGTTCAAACAACCAGAGGTGGGGAGCCCTCCTAATGGGGGATTCCAGAGGAACTGGTGCCCACCAGTCCTCTATCCTTCCTGAATGAATGTCTCTACCTGTTTTCAGAAGCCCAGGAAAGTAAGCCAGGGGAGAGGGACAGGGCAAGATTCTTGACAACACAGGTCCTGAGATACAAATGCTTCCCAACAGGGTCTGGGACATTACTCCACCTCTCTCAAAATGTAGAGGACATTTGGAGACACAGCCTCTCTCCCTCCCCAAAGGCCCTTGTGGAAGCCCTTCAGTGTACCTGACACGAAGTAGATGCTCAATATTTGTCGAATGAATGAGCAAATGAGGTCACCCTCTTTCTCCCCAAACTCTAATCCCGTAAATCCTCTGGGGAAGCACATCTCAACCTCCTTCCTCAAACACCGTCATCAGTAATACATATTTATCCAGGATGCAGAGCACACTGGGTACTGCAGGTTGGGGGCAGGGTGACCATTAGAGGTGACATGGCCTTTATGCACCTTAAGCCTTTGGGAGATAAGGCTCAGGGAGAAGAACAGGCTAACACCAAGGACATAGCATGTGCTTTGAGTCACATTGTGGACTACATGCCCTACGAAGATTGTAGTGAACCAGGTAGGTCTAATTTGACTCTCTTCTACAGTAAGTAGGAAGTCTTGGGAAGTTGGTTAGCAACCTTGCCTACAGGGACTGAATGTTTTCCCTCCCAGGTCTCAGCCCTTAGGGTACCAGTTCTCTAGTCGGAAATGCCAGTCCTTACTGCCGGGAGTAGGTTAGGAGGAACACGTCTGATACATAGATATTCCAGGCCTCCTGCTCAGTGCAAGGGAGATCTCCCCAGGGCCACTTCCTATAGGGAGAGCTCTGAAGAGGGAGGAATCACCAACTGCCGCTTCCCAAGGCAACCCCCACCTGAATGTCCTCTTCAGCTAGGGCATGAGAACAGTTGGCTGAGGAGGGCAACCTTGCAGGATCCCTGCCCCCCTCCCCTATGACACACAGCACCAGCACCAATGCTCTTAACAAGGGGACCCAGGTGTGGGGCTAGACAGAGTATCCTAAAAAGGTAGGGAGGGCACAGCCTATACCACATCCCCTTCCGGGCACTTTAGTGCACTGCCCCACCTCCAAGGAAATGACATCATCATACCCATCTGACAGATGGTGAATACTGAGGCCTAGGGTCTTTCATAAAAGCTGGTGGGAGCAGACCTGGAATGAGGACCACATCTCCCAACTCCCAGGTCAGCAATCTCTCCATCATATGGTGCTTCTGCCTTATATGGGTGAATGTGTCTACAGCCTCTTCCCACTTAATGACTGTAGAGAAGGAGGGTCCAGGGAACTCAAGATACAGAGGCCAAAATCCCTGCCACCAGAGAAGGGCAAAAACATCAGTGTGCAAGGACAGCTATTTCTTCAGTTAGTGCTTCCAAGCTCAAGTCCCGCCCTCCAGAGTTTGGCACAGTCACCAGGAAGGTCAGTACCCACATCCCTTATATGCCCACATTGGAATCCCACCCCCTCACCCTGACTCAGAGGTCAAAGGTCACTGAGGAAGCTCCAACCCCAAGAGGAAAGGGGAGAGACAAGTATCCAAAGAACTGTCCTTTCCCAAACAAAAGGTGGCTCCAGGTGGGCAAAGAGCTTGGCCCCAGGGCTCTGCACCCCTCTTCCATCCCATGCCCTCCACCATGGCCAGTTCAGACGGGAAGGAGGGAATATTTAGACTTGGAGCCAGCTTTGGGAGGTGGGTGAAATGCACGAGGAAGGGCACAACATCACAGAGGCCCCTCCTTCAGACTGGGGCAGGATGCAAAGGAGAGGCAGATTTTGCCTCAGGATCTAAGGGAGCTTTAAAGAGTACCGGATCCCACCCCAAAATGCTGGAAACACCCAGTTCTACACTCCACCCCCTCCAAAAGTATAATGGCAACCAGATGAACAAGTCCAGTTGCGGGGGACATCGCAAAAGGGCCCCCAGGGGACAGTGAATTTCCAGAAGGCCACCCTCCCCACCCCAAACACCTCCCTTATCCTTGCCTTCTCGTGAACTCAGCCAACCCCACCCTCCATTGAGGAAACCTGCTTTGAAAAGTTAGCTCTTTGTTCTACAAGCCGGTCTCAAGCTCTGAGCACAATTTCAGATCTCTGTGAAGCACCCACCACCACCATCCTATTCCAGCACCCGACCTCGCCCGGCTCTGGCTAGGCGGCCCAGTACCTTGAGTTGGCCTCTAATTTGAGGTGGGGGCTGGGAAGCTATGGAGGAGGTCTGCTAGTCCATTAACTGCTGAACCACCCAAGGGGTATGGGGCTACAGATCGTCCAAAAAAAGGGATCTCGCAGTGGGGCTCAGGTCCTTCGCCGCAGCCCAGTTCACCAGATGCAACACTCGCCGGCTGATAGCCCCCGCCCCTTAGTCTCCAGGCCAGGAAGCTTGGCCATTCGCAGCCAGAGCGAACGGTGTCGCTGGGCCCCCCAGCCTCTGCCCCGCCCCCCCTCCTGCCGCCCCCTCCCCCAGGGCCCCGCGCTTCCGCCTACTTGGCGCTCGGGGCGGCGGGGAGAGGGAGCGGCAGTCTCCTCTCACTCTCCCGGCCCTAGGGGGCGGGACTGCACCCCTAACCTTCCCCCAGCCCCCACCCTGGGGCCTGGCTTCCCTACCCCTCTTCCGTCCTCCCAACCCCTAGGCACACAGCCCTTCTCCAGGAGTGGCTGCCCACCACGCGTGGACTCCTTGCCTCGCCTCAGGATCTCCTGATTTCCAGACTGGGATCTGTCCCCAACACCCCATGACACCGCCCTCCCTCCCTCCTCCCAGGATCGCGGGGATGAGGCGGCATAGACCCGACCCCTCTCTCCTCCCCTAATCTGAAGCACTGCTCGGTGACGGCAAAGACGCGTCTGCCGGTCCTGGGGCTCACCTTATCCAGACAGTTCACCTTCTCCGTGGGGTACACGATCTTACCGCACCGGGCGCAATTGGGATTCATGGCTCCGGGAAAGGCTGGGGCGTGGACGCCCGAGCTCGCGCGCGTTCTCTTTCCCCCGGAGTGAGCTGGCGGCGGCTGCAACTACACAGGAGGCAGCAACGGCGGCTGGAGCTAGGGAACTGGCCTCCGCCTCCGCCCTCCTTCCCCTAATAAACAGCCGGGAGGAGGGGCTGCACTGGGGCGGGGACGCGCCGCGGGCGCGGGCAGCGGTGCACGCGGACAGGCGCGCTCCCTGGGCTACGTGGGGCTGCGCGGGGGCGGGTTTCGGGGAGGGCTACGGGGTCAGGGTGCGCGCCTAGGTGAATCCCGAGGGCCCCTGGTGCCCTGGGACCAAAGGCGGCAGGCACCCCGGAAAGGAGAGCCCCGAGGCTAAGCGCGGGCAGCCGGCTTTGCCCAGAGCCCTTCCCGCGCTGTAGGCGGTGCGGAGCCTGTCTAGCCGCATATCTGAGGGACCCCGGCTGCGGGAGGCGGGCAGACTCCTGGCATCCGTCAAGGATGGGGTTGGACCCCTCCTGAACGGCCGATCACATTCACCAAATTCGGGGACTTTCCTTTGTAGCCGTCGGTACCTGGCATGAACCTGCGGACAGAACGGGAACCCCCCTGCCCCGCCCCTCAGTTACGCTCCCTTCCCCCCGCTACATCCTTCCCACTTTTTGTCGGGCGGAACGTGTCCCCCCCGCCTGTTTTCAGCGCCTCGCAGCTCCGGCTAATTCTTCCTTCCCTGCGCTTCTAACATGCAGCTTTCCTGGGGTTCCCCAGATTCAGGCAATTTCTGCTTGGCCTCCTTTCCTCCTTCATTCCTTTCGCCTTACCCTTGCTTCCCACCCTGTATAGCAGTGTCTTCAGCACACAAACAGCTATTTCCAACCGCAGGAGCGGCGCGGGGGTATAGCTCAGTGGTAGAGCATTTGACTGCAGATCAAGAGGTCCCTGGTTCAAATCCGGGTGCCCCCTTGACGGCTTTTTCCCTCCACAAGTAGCATAATTCCTTCTTTCTCGATTCTTCTATCTTCACATTGGGTCCTAGATTCAAATAAAACAAAAACGATTTTCAAAAATTCCTTCCTCATTTTCCAACCTTAGCGGAGAGATTTCGGTTTTGTTTTGTACCCAGCAGAAGGAGGAAGGGTGGATATATGCACAAATCAGGTACAAAAGCTGCGCGTCATGATTGCTGGCGCCAGAGGTGTCGGGATTTCCGCGGCCACGGGTTCCGAGGACAAAATGACTCCTCAAGTTGGCTTTCCGTTTCTTATGGGGCTGTGGGTGGGTCAAGAGAGCGAAACCCACGGACACAGTCTTTCTCCAACTTCAACTTTTTACCAGTGACATAGAAGTGCTGTGTTCACCCCTTATGGCACGGGTAGAGTCAAACAAAGCACTTTGAGAACATTATTTTGGCCAATGTACAATCATAAGGTCATTTTAATTTACAAAAATAAAGTTACATCCTAATGCAAACTAACAAAAACTAATGCAGGGGTTCTCAAACTTGAGTGTGCATCAGTATTACTTGGAGGGCTTGTTAAAACACCTCCCCATTTCTGATTCTGTAGGCCTAGAGTGGGGCCCCGAGAATTTGCATTTCTAAGTTCCCAGGGGACCACACTTTGAGAACCACTAAACTAGTAATACAAGGCTATCAAGTTTCATAACCTAAAGGTGAGGACAGATATCTATTGGCTGCGTCACCTACAGCATCATGTTGGGCCAGAAGAAAACTGTAAGTGTGAAAGGGAGTAAGGGCGTCCACTTCGACTAGATTTTGCCCCAAAAAAGGAAAAATAAAGGAGAAAGGCAGAGGCATGCTGCCTGGGTCAGGGGGCAGCTGCGATATTTTAAACCCGGAATCTGGTTGTGTCATCCCTCTGGGCCCCAGGGGAACACTCCAGCACATTTTTTCCTCTCGGGCTCCCACTACTGTGAGATGCCTCGCAAGGCTAGACATGGAGACTGAGCAGAGCAGCTATCCAGTGCAAAGCCCAGATCCAAGACATAACCAACTTTTCACCCCTTTCCTGGACACCAGGCCTCAAACTTACAACCTGGACGTTATCAGGCCAAAGGCTTGCCTTTGAGCTAATATGAAGGAGACAACTGTCCACTTCTATCTTATACCTGTGTATGTCTTGTTAAATTTTGCAGTTATATAAACCTTTTGAACTTGGATTCGTTCTCCTAGTCTTCTAGGTCAAAATGGTATTGCCCCATCCAGACACTCCAACTTTACCCAAAAACACTTACCGTTCACCTGAAGATGTGCAGCTTTTTCCTACCTGTTGGGAATAGACGTGGGCTTCTCACCTCTGAGTGGCAGCAAACATCTTAGAGGTGGTAAGGTCCCCTGAGAGGACTTTTCAGAAATGGGGATGGGATATTTGAAGAGTCAATTTGGCAAGGAATAAAGATGAGAGATAAACTTGGCAAGGAATAAGGGTGAGGGATCTTACCAGGAGTACCTGAATTTGCATTCAGAAGCCACAGACTTTCAAGTTATTCTAGGTTATACCTGAGTGACTGAGAAAACATGAAGGATAGGCTAGGGGGCACCCGGATTTGAACCGGGGACCTCTTGATCTGCAGTCAAATGCTCTACCACTGAGCTATACCCCCTCTGCTGGTGGATATTTAGTAAATTCTTTTTACACCCATCTCACATTTTTTTGTACTGACAATTGTTTATTTGTTCAAAATTAGTTAATTCTTGCTAGATGATGTTGAATTTACTAATGATGAGGAACAAAATTAAAAGACCAACTGAAGATGAGGCCTTTTGAAAACGTGAATTTAGGTACAAATCTGCCTTTTCTAGGCTCAATTCTTTATCCACAATCCCACCCATCAGTTTACCCTAAGAAGTCAGAGAACAACCTCTTGCAAACCTGAAGAGGGAATCCTTTCCCCTGGTCTCTCTCAAAGGAATACAAACTCCAGCTAGAAAGACATTTCCACTGGGAGACCTTCCCTGGCTATACTTTGTAGCAGTACCTCTCTTTTTATGAAGCTAGTACTATGTGCCCCACTCTAGGTGCAGAACATACTTTCAATAAAAAGACACGAAGGTCCTCACTCTCACTGAGTTTAAAATCTAAGGGAGACTGACTAGAAACAAATGCACAAATGAATAAACAAGGAAATACCCAGGAGTGAAAAGGGAAACAAAATTAAACAAGATGCTGCGTTTAGGGAAATATGAGGGGGGTTATTTGAGAACCATGGAAGAAAACTTTTCTGAGGAGGTGATTTTGAAGTTCAGACCTGAATGACATGAAAGAGACAGCCATTTGGCCATTGTGTGTGTGTGTGTGTGTGTGTGTGTGTGTGTGTGTGTGCGCGCGTGTGTTGGGGGGTTGCATGGCAACCCAACCCAGGTGGAAGAAACGGCTACTGCAAAGGCCCTAGGGACAAAGTGGCTGGAGGAAGATGGACAAGGGGGGAGCAATTCAAGAGAGCTGAAGAAGTAGCCAGGGCTGTAGAGGGCCTGGTAGGCCAAGGTAAAGAGTTTTCATCCAAATGGATGAAAAGCCAGCATTGGACAGTTTTGAGTAGAGTAATTTGAAATCTTCACCCATACTCTTATGGGAAAGATTTATAGGAAGTCAAGACTAGACATAGAGAATGCATATAATGGAATATTATTCAGCCTTAGAAAAGAAGGAAATTTGTGACAACATGTCACACTATGTTAAGTTAAGCCAATCACAGAAGGGCAAATATTGCATTAGTCCACTTGTATAAGATATCTAAAACAGCCAAACTCATAGAAGCAGAGAGTAGAATGGTGGTTGCCAGGGAATGAAGAAAGAGAAATGGGGAGTTGCTAATCCCTGAGTATAAAGTTTCAGTGATATATAAGATCAGTAAATTCTAGAGATCTGCTGTACAACACTGTGCCTATAGTTAACAATATTGTATTGTACATTTAAAAATCTGTTAAGAGGGTAAATCTTATGTTGAGTGTTCTTATCACAAGAAAAGAAAAAAGAGTGGACACATAGAGACAGGTTAGGATTCTATTGCAATAGTGCTGGTGAGAGATGGTGGTGATGTCTTAGATTACAGTGGTGCATTAGTTTCCTATCACTGCTGTAACAAATTACCATAAACTTATTAACTTAAAACAACCCAAATGTATTATCTTACAGTTCTGGAGGTCAGAGTTCCAAAGCCAATTTCACGAGACTAACATCAAGGTGTTATTATGCCTGCATTCCTTCTGGAAGCTTTAGGGGAGAATCAGTTTCCTTGATTGTTTGTAGCTTCTAGAGGCCTCTTGAACTTTTTGACTCATGGTTTCTTTCTTCACCTTCAAAGCTAGCAGGGTAGCATCTCCCCACTCTCTGGTCTCTGCTTCTACACTTACATCTTCTTTCGGTCTCTGACTATGATCCTCCTTCCGCCTTCCCCTTATTATGACCCTTGTGATTACATTAAACTCACCAGGATAATTCAGGATAATCTCCCCATCTCATGATCCTTAAACTTAATTACATCTGCAAAGTCCTTTCTATCAAGTAAGGTAGCATATTCACAAGGGGACTGGGATGTGGACATATTCGAGGGCCACTTTTTAGCTTACCGCAGTGCATCAGCAGAGCTGGAGAGGAGTGCGGGAACCCAGGTTGCCCATAGCAGGGGAGCCACACACTTCCTGTACATTGGATGTACATCGGAGATGAGGGAAAGAGAAAACCAAGAAGGACTTTTTTGTTGTTGTTGTATTCACTATCTGGATGGATGGTGGGTGTAGTTTCCTGAGATAAAGAACACTGGGAAAGGAGTAAGTTTAGGAGAGAAAAATTCAAGAGTTTCTTTTTAAAACTCTTACACAGAAAGTAATAAAACATAGCCTCCTATCCTCATGGACTTCACATTCTAGTATGGGGTCAATATATTAAGTTTGAGGTGCCCCATAGGCGTTTAAGAGGAGATGTTAAGTATGCAATTGGAGACCCAGTTAATTCTGGAATTCAAGGAGAGGTCCAGGTTGGAAACAAAATTTTTGGAGTTGTCAGTGTATAGTTGGTAGTTGATGAAGGAGATCGTTGATTCCAGAAATGTGCCAGATTCGGTTCATACCAGCTTGTGATAACCGATAGTTAAATTTTCAGGAATTTT